AAAGGAATCATTATAAGAAATTTCTAAGATGTCGAATTTTGATGTTACTTTTCTTGATAGTAATAAATGAAAAACAAATTGACGTCCTATTTCAATTTAATCAATGTATCCATATCGTCAAAGTCATCTATCAACAGTCACAAGAAGCATCGAAGAAAGAGAGGCCCAATGATATTAAGACCTAGTCCAATGTGTTTGTATTGCGTTTGATTATTTAATTAAAATAATCTCGATATTTTACGTGAATGATTTTAAATTATGACTAATTATACCGATTACATAGTACCGTGTATATATACAAGCAAAGTATTTATGGAGAGTCTCATAGCGGTCACTATTTTAACATTGATATCAATTATGTCATTGTACTTTAATTTGTATCAGTTGGGTCACTAAACTTTAAATTTGTCTCAAATTTGGCCATTTTGTCCAATTGTGGCACGTTGATTGATGTCAAATGTTAACGTGGCCATCAATTACTAGCACCCATCGTATGTTATTGAGATGCCAACTCAATACTTAGATTTATTGTGGCGACTACTTTGGCCGATTTTGTTTCTAATCCCCCATTCTATTAAATAATATTAGTATAGTTGATACACAGATAAATAAATTTTTTTTTTTTTTTTTTGGAGAGAATTGTAATTATCTAGTCAACACAAATTGCAATGACCCAATTAGAGACAAAATTAATGGGAAATGGTCGAATTGACAATATACTAAAACGTATCTCTAATCTCATCATCACCCGATCCTTTATCGGTTTCTTCCAAGACCATATTACCGTGGTTTCATCACTCACCCTATAGTTCTTTAATTTCTCCATTTTCCACTTCTCCCCATTGCTGAGGAATTTCTCAAACATGCAATGTAAAATCCATCACGAAAATAAAAAAGAGTATGAAAGAGACTAAATAATGTGACGAACATCAATGTCATTTTCATAAAGATTAAATTAGACAAAAATGGTCCTTTTAAACCAAATTAACGATCTGTTGCCAAGTAATAAAATTTTTCAAATTTAACCTTTATTTTTTGGATAGTTAATCAATATAATGCGACCTTTTGTTCAATAAAAGACAATTTTAATCTTTTCGTTTTATATAAACAATTAATAAAACTCAGTTTTCCGCCTCGTGGATGTTGACTATTAAGGTCTGAGGAGGGATCTAATATGGGCGGTGGAATATTCCTTGAGTGCGGATTTTAATGCCACTTTGGACTAAACATATTTTTATATTTTATATTTTTATAAACATATTCGTATATTTTTATTTGAAGAGAAAAGTTATTTTCTTTACAAAATAATTTTACCTTACTATCGAAATAAGTAATTTATTTTTAAATTTGACCAATCAAATATTAATTTATATTAAGTAAACTATTTAAGCTTAGCCAAACGCACTCAAACTGTTTTAAGATCTAATTTGTAACATATTTTTTAAAATTTTCAAATTTTATTGGGACAGTCGATCTCATTACCCTTTCCAGATCTACCTTGCACTCAAGTCGTAACAACTCATTTTTATATACAATAATGCTAGATGTACATCCTTAGTTGATACTAAGGATTGAAGGTATTTCGGTTATCAATCCTAAAATTCATAATCGGAGCAATTTAAATTAGAACTAAATTGAACGCTCAATCTGATTCTTGTCTTGTCCAATATAGGTGATTCTTTAAAAAATGTCGGCCCTTAATAGCGAAGAGAACTAGGTCCTAATAGACTGAGGCTAGAATCTAGAAGCAAATTAAGAGGGTGTTTGCTAGAGATTAAAATCGAATTAAAATTGAAAAATTAGTCGTTATTGTTGAATTTTATTAGATGAGTGGGACCCAATAATAGCTATATTTTCAATTTTAATTGGATTTTGAGTCGTACCAAACAGGCCCTAAAAGAAAAACCTAGTTTTAAGAATATTGATTGTGATTTTTAACTACACTAAATTAGAGAAGTCATTTTCTGATCCACTTAACATGAATAATGTTATTTGCTATCATTCATTATCGTAATCGTCCTACGTGATATATATGTGGCGGTTAAGATTTGATCCATGAGACAATAAAAAATTACAACATTAATACATCAAATCATTAACCGTCCGTCACGTGTATGTCACTTAAGACGACTACAGTAATGAAAGACTATAAATATCATTAACAAGTAGAGGTTAGTTAATCTTATCCAATGTTGGAACTAAAAAATACCTTGGTGGCTTCGGGACTGAAACAAAACTATTTTTCATTGGCTCAAAATTAACAATGTTTTCAAGATTCTTGGATTGACTTGTCCCTCACAAGAAATATATCATTCATGTAAATTTCCTACCAAATTAATTTAAATATATTCTACTGAACTTTATCTGATTTAATGGCAAAATAGTATATTTTCGACTTCATACTTAGCTCCACTTTGGTAGGGATTAAAATTCAGATTTTAATCTAAACGTAAATCAATAATTAATTTTTACAACATATTTAGTTAACTCTCAATTTTTTAATCACGCATTTCATCAACTTTTATCAATTTATATTAAAAATTTGATTTTAATTTTCACCAAACGGGGGTTTAATAATTATATTGCTTATCGGTGTTGCTTCTTATTTGAAGATAGTAATTTGTTTTAATAATGTATTATTAAAGTCAAATAAATATATTAATCTCACGTTCAAGGACCTTAATGTGTGTGTGTGTGTATATATATATATATATATATATATTGAGATAAGAGTCCCATAAAATCGAGAACATTCGAGGAGGAAAGTGAAACTTCGTTCTATTACTTTCATCTGGGCCTTAAAAGTTGCCCATTTTGAGGGAGTCTAAATGATATATTTTATTTTTTTTGTCTCCTTATCACCTGCTAATCTTTGAAATCAGATTTCCACGTGCGACTAGTCAAGGATTGCCTTTTGCAGTCAAAGTAAAGGTACTTAGGTCTTTCCTCCCTCCACGACATAACTACGCGGAATATGAACTAAGCGACAATTCAAATTTTTAAGGAATTATAGAAAATACCTTGACGAGGCATCTGCTATTTTTGAATCAATCGTCTCAAATTAAATGCGTTTGAAATAATTTGTCTAATTCGTAGAAACTTACATATTTCTAAGAAATTTTAGAAAACAACCACAATAGTGTACAGTGTTCATTTTCTAATAAGATTAAGTGGCTCCACAATATTTTGTTTTACTAAATTACTACAAAAGTTCGTTGAGCTCACACGTCTAAAGTAATAATTTTTCATTGTCAAAAATCTTGATAAATTTCTTGAATCTTGAAATATATGGTGACTATTTGTGATTGTAACAAATGTAAAACAGCGTCAACGTGCTATTTTAATATATTTTTCTAATCCCTAACTGCGGTCACTAGAAGCATTAAAGATAGAGAGGACCGCAATGTTGAATATAATGACAATTAACATTAATATAGATAAACAATATTCAAGCATGATATATTTTAGTATCAAGAAAAGGAATCATTATAAAAAGTCCGTACTTGAAATTTCTAAGATGTCAAATTTTGATGTTACTTTCCTTGATAGTAATAAATGAAAAACAAATTAACGTCCTATTTCAATTTAATCAATGTATCCATATCGTCAAAGTCACAAGAAGCATCGAAGAAAGAGAGGCCCAATGATATTAAGACATAGTCCAATGTGTTTGTATCGTGTTTGATTATTTAATTAAAATAATCTCGATATTTTACGTGATTGATTTTAAATTATGACTAATTATACCGATTACAAAGTATTTATGGAGAGTCTCATAGCGGTCACTATTTTAACATTGATATCAATTATGTCACTGTACTTTAATTTGTATCAGTTGGATCACTAAACTTTAAATTTGTCTCAAATTTGGCCATTTTGTCCAATTATGTCACGTCGATTGATGCCAAATGTTAACGTGGCCATCAATTACTAGCACCCATCGTATGTTATTGAGATGCCAACTCAATCCGATTTTGTTTCTAATCCCCCATTCATGATATAGAACCTATACAATTAAAAAACTATTTTACTCTTTGAACCTGGAAAGTATATAATAATATTAGTATAGTTGATACAGAGATAAATAAATTTTTTTTTTTTTTCAATGTCAATGTCATTTTCATAAAGATTAAATTAGACAAAAATCGTCCTTTTAAACCAAATTAACGACCTTTTGTTCAATAAAAGACAATTTTATTCTTTTGGTTTTACATAAACAATTAATAAAACTCAGCTTTCTGCCGTCGTGGAGATGTTGACTATTGACTATTGAGGTCTGAGGAGGGATCTAATATGGGCGGTAGAATATTCCTTTAGTGCGGATTTTAATGCCACTTTGGACTAAACATATTCGTATAGTTTTTATTTGAAGAGAAACGTTATTTTCTTTACAAAATAATTTTACTTACTATCGAAATAAATAATTTATTTTTAAATTTGACCAATCAAATATTAATTTATATTAAGTAAACTATTTAAGCTTAGCCAAACGCACTCAAACTTTTTTAAGATCTAAGTTGTAACATATTTTCTAAAATTTTCAAATTTTAGTGGAATAATGCAACATCCTTAGTTGATACTAAGGATTGAAGGTATTTGGACAATAATGAGATGAATGTTTTTAAAATCAATGGTGTACATTTAATATAATTGATGTATGTATTTGTATTTAATTTTAATTAATTATAAAAACGTGCTCTAGAGAGAAGAAGTTAAATAGCTCGAACCTTGTACCCTAAGTAAGCAAACCAAGGAGCCTATTGCACAAGTTGGATGAAACTTCTTGGTCATTTCAATTGACAAGTATCCTCCCTATCGCAATAGCCATATTGAATATAATAGTGACTTCAAATACACTCGCACAAGTAATCTTTCTTCCCCAGCCGATCCTACCTACAGAATCATTCAAACTCAAATTCTGATTAGTTCCTATAAATCCTTCTGTTCTTCAATCAATTAGTTCCTAATACTTCACGTTGGTTTTGGAAAACAACATTGCGATGGGTGAAATTGAGGAGTTGGAGCCACGAATTCGATCTCCACCCATTGAAGAGGATGCACTCTATGTGGCTTTAGGAAAAGATGTGAAGGAGAGTGTGACAGTTCTCAAGTGGGCTTTGAACAATTCTGGAGGAAGGAAAATTTACATCCTTCATATTCATCAACCAGCTCAGAAGATTCCCATGGACGCGAGTCAGTACTATTATATTTCTTGACTCTATTTTGGTATTTCGAGTAGCTGTTTATTCATCTTTGCCCAATAGATGGTGGCTCGGATTGAGCTTTAGATGATTGAATTGTTGTTTAATAAGATTTGGCTTCCATTGGATGTAGGATTTACCAGTTAACAAACACTGTGATTTATATTTAGTTTTATTATTTGGTGTTTTGTCTGTTACATTGGATTTCTATACTTGATTGTTAAATCTTGAAATTATATGAAGTGAAACTAACCTCGTCTTTTACTGATTTAGCTCAAAGGTTGGTTATAGTATTTTTGTCCCTTTTTAGTTTTTTCTGAAGAATTTGTTTGACTCTTCTGAAGATATGGAAAGATTGTAAAGAATAATTTCGATGATATTTTTCCAATTGCATGAGATTATTTTTCTTATAGTTGATCGTGTGATCATCACACAATATTTCCTTTTAAAGTTATTTATAACCCTATAATTAGGGTATCTACTTTGTAATAAAAATACAAATTTATTATATCCAATTTATATTATTCTAACATGGTATCAAAGCGGGTTTAATTTCATTTTGTAAGCTTTTGTAGCTCGTCCGGTCAAGTTTCCTTGTTTTGATTAAATATCCACATCTAGCCCTCGATTCTCATTTTTTTTGAAACAGGTTTTTCTTTCTTTCTTTTCAACCATATATCGTTCAATAAAATAATATTACATGAAATCTAAAGAATTTTCCTTCATATTTAGCTACACATTCTCCGTCAATATACTCTTCTAAAATACATTCCACACCGAAAATGGGACTCAAACAGACCCCTAGTCAAATTCTTTTTCTTTATTTTGTCCAGCTAAGTCTTTTTTGTTCTTGATTTAATTTGAATTTAGACTTCAGATTAATTCAAATCCTATTAGAGTTGGCTATTCTTGTTGCTTCCTTCTTGGAGAGAGTTAGTTTTTGAGAAAATTGAGAATTATCGTGTTATATTTTCATCGAAATTATTCCCATCACGTCTGTTGTTTTAGCCTCCTCATGCACCAGGGTTCGTGTTTCATCAGTATTTTCTTCATCTATAAGTGTAGTACAAATACTACCCATAAATTTTCGGAGTGCTACTATTAAACATGATCTATCTTTGCCTATCTAGTTATTAAAACCGTTTGAAGTTCTTGTTTTGACCTTGTTCATTATACTTGTGGGTTTCTCCTTCAAGTCTTGGTGATGATTTACTTAGATTGGTGGATGGTGATTTTTCTTTCGTACCAACTTCGAGTCTTTGCTTGGCTTGCAAGCAATTTGAAGTATCTTTTGATCCTAGGAAGAGGAAGATCAAATTTGATCAATTTAATTTCAAACTCAATTTGATTGTCGCTACATTATATTGAGTTTGAGGGAGGTTGTTGAAGACATGGAAAGATTGTAAAGACTAATTTTGATGATATTTTTCCAATTGTGTGAGATTATTTTCCTTAATAGTTGATTGTGTTACATAATATTTCATTTTAAAGTTATTTATGACCCTATCTACTTTGTAATAAAAATACAAGCTTATTATATACAATTTATAATATTCTAACATAGTATCAAAGCGGGTGTAAGTTCATTTTGGGTTAAACTTGTAAGCTTTTGTTCTCCAGCGAGCAACCTCGTGCCCTTGTCCGGTCAAGTCCTCTTGTTTTGATTAAATATCTACGTCTAGTCAAGATCTTTTTCTTCATTTGTCCATATTCTGTCCAGCCAAGTCTTTTTTGTTCTTGATTTAATCTGAATTTGGACTTCAGATTAATTCAAATCTAGTTAAATGTTGTCTATTCTTGTTATTTCCTTCTTGGAGAGAGTTAGTTTTTGAGAAAATTGAGAATTATCATGTTATTTTTTCATCGAACTTATTCCCATCACATCTTTTGTTTTAGCCTCCTCATGCGTCAGGTTCCTGTTTCATTAGTATTTCCTTCATCTATAAGGTAGTATTGATACTACCTATGAATTTTCGGAGTGCTCCTATTAAACATGATCTATCTTTGCCTATCTGGTTATTAAAACCATTCGAGGTTCTTGTTTTGACCTTGTTCCTTATATTTGTGGATTTCTCCTTCAAGTCTTGGTGATGGTTTGGTTAGAATGGTGGATGGTGATTTTTCTTTTGTACCAACTTTGAGCCTTTGTCTAGCTTGCAAGCAATTTGAAGTATCCTTTGATCCTTGGAAGAGGAAGATTGGATTTGATCAATGTAATTTCAAACTCAATTTGATTGTCGCTACATCATATTGAGTTTGAGGGAGGATGATGAAGATATGGAAAGATTGTAAAGAATAATTTCGATGATATTTTTCCAATAATGTAAGATTATTTTCCTTAATAGTTGACTATGTGATTATCCCACAATGTTTCCTTTTAGAGTGATTTTTAACCTATAAATATGGTATCTACTTTGTAATAAACACGAGTTTATTATATACAATTTATAATATTCTAGCATCTTCAATGTGTTTGTGTTCAACTTTCACATAATAATTCTCGTGTGTTCGTGTGTTCTGATCAAGAGTACTAAGATTGTGATCATAGTTGGTTGGAACAGGCATTTGTGGGATTTCGCTCTATGATACAATTTGTATTTTCTCCCGTATTTTTCTGTTCATCCTTAATGTTTGAATAACTAATGGCTAATCAACTATGAAGTAATAGAAGCTGAATCTATTTTATATTTTATTTTACACCAGCAAGAGAGAGAGAAATTGAGACACATAGATTGTGAGAGAAGAAGACTCTCAACATTTTACTTGTGTAGATAATTTGTTATTTGCGTCTGTTCTCGAAAAATTAGAAGATGGTCTCTTTTTCACAATTTCAAACATTAGTAAACATTTTTTTACATGCATTTTGTTTCTTGGTTCGCAGTGGCTACAAATGTTCCAATTAGACTGCTGGACGAGCATAAAGTTAGAGCATATCATGAAAATCAGAGACGAGAGATGCAAGAGATTTTGGAACAGTATGTTCAGATTTGTCACCGGGCAGGGGTATTTTCTATCTGTCTTCCAAATGATACTGTTGTTTTTAAACTTTATAACATAATTGTGGAAATTTTTTATTCTAGACCTTGGGATGTATAAGCATGATGACCATCTATTATACATTTGAAACTTAATGTACCTAACGGATGCAAACCACTGTATTAAGTGTGTCGTTTTCGTTCCTTTTATGAAGGTTTCTTTTGGAACAACCATGCAATACATGTGCTAAAGCTTATTTCTTGTAACATGGTTTACTTCTCATCGTAGAATCAGGCAGAGACACTGCCCAAAGAGATGGACTCTATTGAGAAGGGCATTGTGCAACTCCTATCTCAGCGTCGTATTAAGTGGATTGTCATGGGAACGGGATCTTGTAAAACTTATTCTAGGTATAATGCTGCAAAAACTTTTACCAGTCATCACTATCATGTTACTAGATAATTTTAAAATGATAAATGCTACCTAGGGGTGGCAATACGATCCAGAGTCCTCTACCCATCTTGATCTACCTCTGAAAAAGAAGATTGGGTGAGCACTGAGCAGCAGTAGGCGTCCAATGACTAGTGTTGGAGAAATGTCACACTTGAATGAGGTGGTTCCAGATTGTGTATGGGTGTCCAGTGGGTTATGTGTTCTCATTGACTAAATATAATGAAGCAGAGATTAAAAATACATTCTTCAAGAGGTCAATTTAAAGTACTCTGATCTTGTCTTTCTTTTTTCTCTGTCTAGGGGCAAGGAGACTACTCTTAAGAAGATTTTCTTCTTCAGAAACAGTACAAGGTCGTTTTCTTCTTACTACTTCTATAGTAGTTTTATAGCTGCTTCTTTCAACAGTTGATGTTGGAACAAGTGGAAGTTTATGTATCCATAATGGGCGAGACAATGCCTTATATTTTATCTTTGTGTGACGTGTTTATCTCTTTGAACCGTCTGAGATTATTTCTTTCTTTTATGACTTAATCTTATTCCCTGCAATTGTTTTCATGTTGCAGAGAAATGATTATACCCAAGTCTAGGAAAGCAACCTATGTGCGTCTAAAAGCACCCAGTTTCTGTCGTATTTCATTTATATGGAAAGGGAAACTTATACATACAAGGCATGATTTTACTATTGTATTTTTAGGCTTGATAAGTAATATTTTGATAACTGATGCTATAAGCTAATTCAATGTAGGGAAAGTGATATACATGGAATTTATATAGATTTAAACTCTGCATCACCTGAAGCAAGTACAAATGCTGAAACTACAGAATCTTCCTTGCGATCACTATCAGTTACAGAAGGAGAAAATGATCGACTAAGCCTATCGGGTTCATTTCCTAACTATCTTAGAGTCAGGTCTGCCGACCTCGGGATGAGAAGATTGAATTCAGGAGGGAGAGAGATAAACTCTGCATCACCTGAAGCAAGTACAAATGCTGAAACTACAGAATCTTCCTTGCGATCACTATCAGTTACAGAAGGAGAAAATGATCGACTAAGCCTATCGGGTTCATTTCCTAACTATCTTAGAGTCAGGTCTGCCGACCTCGGGATGAGAAGATTGAATTCAGGAGGGAGAGAGATAAACTCTGCATCACCTGAAGCAAGTTCAAATGCTGAAACTACAGAATCGTCCTTGCGATCACTATCAGTTACAGAAGAAGGAAATGATCGACTAAGCCTATCGGGTTCATTTCCTAACTATCGTAGAGTCAGGTCTGCCGACCTCGGGATGAGAAGATTGAATTCAGAAGGGAGCACTGATTTGGATAGTTCATCAAGGTTTGTATCCTATAATACTCGTAGCAGATTGGTTTACTAATGGAATTTCATCTATCTAATGTAGGATTTTTTTTGTTTTTGTCCCACGTCTAATAGGGGATCAATTAGCTCTCCTTTTACGTTCCTGTAAAACCAACTCCCCACTTTGTATTTTCTCCTTCCCAATTTGAGTGATAGTTAGAGAGAGCTATCTTTTGGCAGGACTTCGGAGTATTCCTTTGCATTTCATAGTATAAACTTTGGGGTTTTCAGGGTTTGGGGATTGAATTCTTTTGACACTTTTCTATTATCCCTTTTGGTTAATTGTGGGATTTTCTTCTCCACCTGTCTGTAGACGTTGGCCAACTGTTGAAGCAAGTAAATCTTTGTGTTTTCTGACTTTTTTTCCTAAAACCCAATCTTGCGGTTGCTCGCAACACTCCATGTCATGATATTATCTTGATACTAATGCTGTCAGATAATCCAATGTAGGGAAAGTGAGGTGGATGGAATTTATATAGAGAGAGACTGTGAATCACCTCAAGCAAGTACAAATGCTGAAACCACGGAGGCTTCCTTGAGTTCACTATCAGTTACAGAAGGGGAAAATGATGGACTAAACATACCAGATCCAGTTCCGAACTGTCATACATTCGGGTCTGATGATCTCGTGATGAGATTCTTATCACCACCAGATGACCCTGGTACTGTAACGCCACAAAGCAGGTTGAATCCAGAAGGGAGCACTTATCGGGATAGCCCATCAAGGAGAAGTCCTTCAGTAAGCTCACTGTTTTCAACGTGCCCGTCTAGAGAAATAATCCAGGACACAGCCTCAGGCTCTCTTGAATGTACTGAGGGGAACGAAAGGTTGGAGTCACCTATGCCCGAGGATAATGAGTGGGGAGGTTGTCATCAATTGTCCATTGCCGTCAGTTCTTTAGTAAGTACATAATCATGCCAAAGCGTAGTGTTATTCGTCTATAGGTATTATTTGCAACACAAGATTTTGGAGAATGAGTTCATGTACTTATATGCGTTTCTTTTTCTTGAGATGCAAAATGTTCCTCAAGGCATACAATAATGTTAATGAAGAGTTGATTGTGCTCTTTAGTGAAAAGATATGGAGCATGATTTGCTATGCTTACAAGTAACTTGAAAGTTACTTCTAAGAAAAGTATGTAGATTTACCCATAACATATCCAAAATACATTTAGTACTTTGTTTTTTGGAAGTACTCCTAAAAAAGTCATTGTGGAATTCTTCCTGACTAATTGTTGAACTTGATCAGGAAGGAACGATGAGTGATGACATTTATCATAGGCTTGGGCAATCTGTGGCAAGAGTAGAAAGTTTTTGTCGGGATGTACACAAAGAATCAGTCAGGCGTAAGAAAGCTGAAAACAATGTCATTGATGCTATTCACAGGGTAAAGTTTCCATCAATATTTTAAATTCTTTTTCTTTCTTAATATTGTTGGAGTTGTGTTGAGTCCTTGTTACCTGACCTGCCAAGTTACTATAGAGCACTATCCATTTATTGAACATCATTCGATAATTTCTCTTTTATAACCGTTGTTGGAGCCAAGCTTCCTCGTACATTTTCCGATAGAACACTATTTGCAAATCTTGTGCGCTAATTCTTCTGTTATCCATATCTTATGGCAGACACCTGACATTTATGGTAATATCATTTTTAGGTTAAAGAATCTGCAACCATGTACACTGAGTTGTTACGACACAGGAGAGAAATCGAACAATCCCTAGCAAGAAGCAAGAAAGATGTTGAGGAAATGAAAAGTAAGCTCGTTGCAGTCATAAATGCGCGCCGATCCCAAAACGCTAATTCCAGTAAGAAGCTAGAGGAGTTGGAACAGAAACTGTTTTCTGCTGTTGAACTATCTCAATTATTATAAGGAAATAGTTGTTGAGAAGCATTTATGTATTGTCCAGTTTTTTCATTCAACTTGCAAGCAATAATTCATGTTTTCCATAACATGTCACACATGTAGATAGTTTTTTCTAAATAAAGAAGCGTTTGAGCCCCATTTTTTTCGAAAAATGCATTCTGTATTAGTGTTATGATGGAGAATGTGTGGTTATAAAATAAAGAAAAAATTTGAATTTAGGTGTAATATTATTTTATTGAAGAATGAGTGGTTGAAATGAGGTCAAATTACCGTTCAAAAATATATTTTGATGAAAATGGGACTCGAACAAGGGCTAAATATATTTTAGAGCGATTAAATAATTTTTCTTCCCATAATAAGATAAGAATAACCATCGTCAATTGAGTTCATGTTATCTCATCTTCTTGATATAAATTTGTTTTCTAATTTTTTTACATGGTTGGATATTAAGTTAGAAGACTGCTCTTTTATCTTCTTACTTTGTGTGTGAGACTTTTGAATATGTCAACAAGTGGGTGGCACCGATGGAGGATAAATAAGAGAAGGGTGACTTAGGAGGTTGATACGTTATTTTTGTGAACTTAAAGATGTTCTTGATCTTAAGAGTCGCGTGATCTCACTAGAATATGTTAAGAGGAGGGAAAGGGTAGACTAATACTTCAGGTCTTGTTGTTGTCGTCGAGAATTTAGTTGTTTTAGATCTTTTAATAGAACTAGCAAAGAATGAATTGAATGGAGTGGTGATTACATAGCTAACTCTAAATTTATCGAGAACAATGTTTAGTTTTTGGTTGTATTTTTCATGTGAAACAGGTGACTATATGGAGATAATAGAGAAAATATAGCTGGAATTAATTTTTCAAATTTCAATTTCATTTGGTGTATTAGTATCTTATGTGCAAGAAACAAGAGAATTGGAGATCGCATCATATTGATATATGCATTCATTTTGCAAATGTAGAGTGCCTTCTTACATGCAACAGACTACATTAGGAGTGAGCATAAGTTTCGAATTAAAATCGGTTTGATTGGGGTTGGGAAATACCACATCGAACAAAACCATGTCTAGACCTTCTATTAAATCTATATAGGTTGCTTTATTCTATTGCAATTGTGTCTACTTTCCTTCGTATACTTGTGCATTCGCCCACAATAGGAATTGGCAAGTGTCCGAAATTTAAACTTGTTTGGTTTTGGTTCAATTTTGCATAATAAAGAGCATCTTATGTGTAAAAAAAGTTTTCTTCGTAAATTTAAAGATACTCTATATTATGTAGAAGAGATATTTATATGCATTTTTGGGATGCTGGTTTAAAGTTGTGAAGTGACTTTTTATGAGTTAACATGCGTTGTATTTTTTTTCCTTAATCGAGTTTTGCCTCACTAGTTCTCTAACAATTTTTTTGATGAGGCAACGAACGTAGTTAAAAGAAGGGAGAATTGCAGTCACGATTCCAAATATTTCATTTTGTCGCAGACTTTATTCAAACATTAAGTTTGTGCCACCCACAATTTCAAACATTTCATTTTATTGCAACACGGACAAATTGATGGATTGACTGTTAATTGACTAAGAAAATGTATTTCAAATTAATAACTTCGTATTTTTAATATTAAATAATTAAAGTAATTACAAAAACGAAATAAGAGAAAAAAATTTTCTTCTTCCCAAACCCTACCCTACTACCCCACACTTAGCTATGTCAACGAGCCGAGCCCAAGCCTGAGCCGGGAAAAAAAAGGCCCGAGCTTTTTTGGGCCGAGCTTTTTTCTGCCCGAGCCGGGCCGAGCAGGGCCAGGCCAAAAAATACGAGGTTCGCCCAAGCCTTAGCGGGCAGGCCGAGCCGAGCCAGCTTGGGCTTTTTTTTTTAATCTACATTTTTAAAAAAAAAAATTTTGTACATTTTATGCGTATTATAAATTAAAGAAATTATAAAAGTTAAAAATCCTCTTCCTTTATCTGGGTTTGGGACTGGCTACAATTATCGTGGCGGAATTAAAATTGTACACGAATAAAATATTTTGTGTACAATTTTTCTTGAAACAAAAAAAATTAAAATTACGCATTTTAAACTTACAATATCTTATACTTTAATCTGCTGTAACTCATCGATCATTATACTATCAACTTGTTCTTGAAGACGTAATTCCGCACATTCCCAGTCCTTCAAACATATTAAAGCCTCTAATATACCTTCTTTTAGTTTTGATCGTTCGTCACATAAAACTCGACCACATAAACTAAATGCAGCCACCGATACTACTATACGAACGTCCCGCACATATACCTAGCTAACTCGGAGGGAATTTCAAAATTTGTACCACTTACATCTATTACTCTAGATATTGACGAATTAGAACTAAATAAGAGAACACTAGTATTGGTCTCTAAATAACTCCATATATTATATGCATTTGTTGAAGTATTTCTTGAAAAAG